AAAAAAAAAAGATAAAGATCAAAGCAAACAAAAACAGAAGAAAACAAAACAAAACAAAAAAACAGGATATGATCAGATATGATCAGGCTGGTGCATAGAGATCACTGCCACACACTAGATTTTGGGTGTATTTTGGTCAGTTAGAAGAAAGTGCCTCCTAAAATTTTAAAGAAAGAAAGACATATATGTACAAAATAAGGGTTGATACATTGAAGGGATGAAAGATGACTGTAAAGATGAAAATTATAGAAGATTTATAAAAGGAATTGATAAGAAGTTGTTTGAAAAAAGAAGATTTAAAAAAAAAAGAATGTGATCAGGCAGGAGACTAGAACAAAGCCATACACTAGTGATTTAGGGTATATTTTGATCTGTTAGAAGAAAGAGAACAACATATATATATGCCAAAAATAAGGGTAACTACTATGAAGGGATAGAATGACTCTAAAAATGAAAAATAAATTTTTTTTTTAAAAAAGGGATTGATAAGATCTTGTTTGTAAAAGGGCAAAAGAAAAATTAAAAAAAAAAACAGTTAAAAAAATTAACTTTGAAAAACTAATGAATCATGGTAAAAAAGCCGTGAATTCTATGTGTAGTATTCCCCTAGCGCTGGAGTTCTCCCGTTCTCCTTGATCGGTAAACTTGGTCTTGGCTGGGTGTTTGTGCCGATCTTCTGGGGGAGGGGCCTGTTGCCGTGGTTCCCAAATGTCTTTGCGGGAGGCGGAATTGCCCTGCCCTTGCCAGTCCGGGCTAAGCAATCTGCTCGGGTTTGCTCAGGTTTGCCCTCGGCAGCTTTTGTTCCCTGCAAGCTCTCGGTACAGCTTTGGAGGATGAGAGTGAAAATGATGGCCTCCCAATCCCTGCCCGGAGGAGCCGAGAACTCGGGGCCCCGCTCCTCAGTGCACCCCCACAGAAAAGCAGTCAATCACTCCCGTGTCCCCGGTCTCCGGCCGCACTCCGCGCTCACCTGGCCTGTGACCGTTTCTATCTCTGGCACCTGACCCCGTGTGGAGTCTCCAAACCCAGCAGATCCCTGCAGTGCACTCCCGCGCCGCTCGTCCCGGGGGAGGAAGGGGAGTCTCCCCGGCTCTGCCACTTGTTGGGTCCCTGCTGGAGGAGCAGTGGCTCGACTGGGCCGCGGATCACAGTTTATGGCAACCCGAGCTGAGAACCCGCGCCTCGGCTCCGTCTCTGCAGCCGGCTTCCCCGCTCCGATACCCGGGAGCTCTGCCGCACTCAGGCACCCCCGGTCTTTCTGTGACCCCGAGGGTCCTGAGACCACACTGTCCCACGAGGGTTCCACCCCCAGCTTAGCCACTGGAGCGACGTCCCTCAGCGGAGCCGACTTGTAAAAGGTCCGATTTTGTGCTCCGCGGCTCTAGCACTCGCCAGAAGCGGCCGACGGAGGCCCCCTCCCCCGCCGTCTATCCTCCCGAATATCGCCTCAGATTCACTTCTCCGCACGTCCTACCTTCCAGAAAGTGGTCGCTTTTCTGTTCAGAGAGTTGTTGCTGTTCTTTTGTTCGATCTCCTGTTGAGTTCGTAGGTGTTCAGAATGGTTTGATCCCTATCCAGGTGAATTCCTGAGACCAGACGAAATCCAGGTCTCCTACTCCTCCGCCATCTTGCTCCGCCTCCCTCGTGACTGTTTAATCAGTCATAGTTTCTGAATCTGTTAAGATGATTATAGGCTTTTTCTTCTATATTCTGTTAATGTGGTGACTCACACTGACTTTATTGAGATATTATTGAGATATGACATTCAGTTGATTTTCACATCTTAAACCGTTGAGGGTATAAACCCAATTGCTCACCAGGTAGAATCCTTTCTATGTGCTAAGTTTCAATTAATGTTTTGCTCCAGACCATTGCAGCGTGTTTCTGAAAGACACTGACCTTTTTATTTTCCTTTGTTTTGAAGCCTCGGTTAGGTTTTAATGCCCAACTTATGTCAGCCTTATCAGATGTTTTGGGGAGGGTTTGCTCTTTTGCAGGCCCTGGGGTAGTTTTGTGACATTTGAAATGACTTGCTTCCAGAATGTTTGGTAGGGCTTCTTGATAAATCCATCCAGATCTGAAGTTTTCTTTGTGGGGAGATGGATTTCCCACAGAATGTCTTCAATGGTTATAAAACTTGTTGGTTTTCAGATAATTCTTTAGTTGGTTTTGAATGGATTTCCTATAACTTTGCATATATTTACAACTTCAGATTATTGTTAGGTTGTTTATGTCCTTTTTTTTAAAAATATGTTTGTATCTTCAGTTCCTCTTTTTCATTCCACACTTGATCTTAGCCAAAAGGCTGAGAAGCGATCCCCTTTTTCATTCCAAATAGTGTTTATTTGTCAGTCTTCTCTCTCTTGGAAAATCTTGTCAGAGATTGGTTGCTTTTAGTATGTTTTTTTCAAGGAATAATTTTGGTTTTGTTGATCTCAAGTGTATATTAATTTCATTGTTTTCTGCTCTTTATTATTCACTTTCTTTAACTTTTTTTGGATTTAATTTGCCGTTGGATTTAATGTTGCTGATCCTAGTGATAGGAAATAAACTTTGGCAGGACATAGTGACTGGCTGGATCTGCGGGCGAGGGGGAGGAGGATCAGAGTTAGACGCTCGGGCCTGTGGTTTGTATGACTGCGTGGACCGCCCCCCCACCGCCCCCCCAAACCGGAAGATTCGTGAAGAGGACTCAGGCAAAGAAAAAGGTTGAAGATGGGGGAAGGAGGAGATGAGCCCAACTTAGGACCTGTTGAGGTTGAGTTACCGCTGAGGTGTTCTCAAGGATACCTAGCAGGCAGTCTGAGAAACTGGTCCTGAGCTCCTGCATCTTCTCACCCCTGAGGTCCAGTTGATGTGCTGTTTAAAAAAAAAAACAACTGAGCAGCAACTAACCTTTTTGTGTCTCTCCTATGTGCCAGCTCCTTGGCAAACCTCTGGTAGTCATACCTCATTTAAATGGCATCTTCTGTCTTAAAGATAGTTTTTTGTTATCCCCATTTTATAGCTGAAAAGACTGGGGCCGAGGGAAATGAAGCTCATTAGCTGAAATATTTTTGTGCTGTATTTGCCTAAGGGAACAGCGAATTTCTTGTCAGATCATGGCGTTGCCTGAAGTGAATGTTAAACCCTCAGAATTCCAGGCCCCTCGGCGGTCCGAACCTCCAGGAACGGGGCCCAGGAATCTGTATTTTTTGTACGCAGGTTCGATGATTCTCAAGATCAGGTGGGTCTGGCAAACGCTCGTCTCAACACCACCTGCCGATTTCTAAAGCCATGCTCTTTGCCTCCGCACCGTGCCACCTCTCCGTGGCGAGAGCAGGCTGTTTGATCGGGACTTGTGTAATGCTTTTATCAGCTGTGATCTCTGCGGTTTGTGGAAAGATAACGTTTTAGTAGAGAGCAAGAGATTGAAAAAGCACCCCACAGTGACAGTTGTTTCATTAGTGGTTTGGGAGATGAGAAGGAAACTAGTACTGGGTAAGTGCTTACTAGCAGTTCTTTAGGCGGTGAATGCCGTTCTAAGTTGAGCGTGAGAAAATGGGGCCTCAGCTGACTTTATCCAAGGCCATAGATCCGATAGGTGGCTGAACCAAGTTTCAGACCCAGAACTGTCTAGGAGTAAATAGAGCTAACGCTTACGCAGTGTTTATCCTGTTGCCCGGCTTTTATTGTGTATTAACTCACTGAATGGAGTAATTCCATGGAGGCCGTTGCTATCGTTCGTCTCATAGATCAGAGACTGAAGCACACGGAGGTTAGGTTGCCCAATTTCACTCACTTAGGTGGTAGAGCAGGCCGGGTCCAGGCACTCTGGCTGGCTCCAGAACCCACGCTTCTCCCCACCTGCTGGTACTCGTCGGCTTGCCCCAGACCCGTGTCCTTTTCATTTAGGGACATTTGGCTGGATCCACTCGAGTTTGAGAACTACAACAAATGACTACTCGTGAATGTCAATTAGTACACAACACGGAACTTGACTTTCTGAGAGCCCAAAGGTGACTGGGTTTCATTTGCTTCTTTTCTTAGCTCCTTCACACCCGCAGGGTGGTACTAGAAGGGCAGGTGTCATGACTGACGTCCACCGGCGATTCCTCCAGTTGTTGATGACTCACGGAGTGCTGGAGGAGTGGGACGTTCGGCGCCTGCAGAAGCACTGCTATCGGGTCCATGACCGTGAGTATTGTCTCCCTGGTCCCAGGATGCCCCGGAACCATGTGACTGGGGACTAGAGACACGGGTATAAAACCATAGAGCCGGCCAAGCAGTACCCCTCACCAGGGCCTTCGGGTCTCTCACACAGTCTCACACCAGCCCGTTTCTCATCTTATCTTTGACTTTTATTTATACTTTTTATTTTTTTTACGTAAATCTGACACTTAGCCCAGGGGATAGGAATTTGGACTTTGAAGCCATCTAGTTGGGGCTCACACCAAGGCTCCAGCATCTTCTCCAGCCTGAGTTTCTTTATCTCTCTAATGAGGACAGTTCATCGTCCTTGACACCACAGGGGGGTTCAGAGGATTAAGAGACAAGATGCATACAAAGTGCCTGGCCCCTTGGAAGGTGCTCATTTGGCAGTCGATGGTAAGAGGGTGGCTGAGCACAGTGGGTCAGAGCATAGCCTGGGACTCAGCCAGACCCGGAGATAGTGCCGCCCTGGGCCAGCTGTGCGCGTTTGGAGCATCTTCTCAGTGGTTGCTGAGACAGGAGGTAAGATAAGACACGCGAAGCATTCAGAGACTGGGCCCGGCTAAGTTGGCAGTGCAGTACAAGCAACAGGATCAATGCTGGCAGGTCAGTAAAATTGGTATTGGTAGCTTGGGTTGAGTTGAGTGTCAGTATGGGTAGATCCTGTTGGGTGACAAAGAAAGTGGATAAATTATACTTACTGTATGATGTCACTGTGTTAAGCTTTTTGTAAAACTTAATGTTTTTTAAAGAATTTATTTGAGAGAGAGTGAGCGAGTGAGCACGTGATGAGCCAGGGGAGGGGCAGAGGGAGAGGGAGAAGCAGACTCCCTGCAAAGCAGGGAGCCTGACACGGGGCTCGATCCCAGGACCCTGGGATCATGACCGGGGCGGAAGGCAGACGCTTAACTGACTGAGCCACCCAGGCGCCCCAACTTAACGATTTTTGTTGTTCATGAATGCAAACATCTGCATGTAAAAAAAATAAGAGTGGACCCGAAGGATATGTAAGACACTTGTGAGGTGCTTGCGAGAAATCAGAGGACACTGTCATCTTTATCATATTTTGTTCTTTATTAAAGAAAAGATCTGAAGCGAACAAGGCATTCGTGGTGTAGTCTGATGATCGTCACTTCCGATGAATGGGAATATGGGTGTTTGTTTATATTCTGTGCTTTTGTCTTTCTGTGTTTTCAGTTTTCAAAAGAAGAGGGGAAAGCACGTAGGGATGAGCCAGCCAGGAGGAGTGAGGACAGGTGTGTGTGGGGCGCCAGGTTTACAGGTGAAGGCCCATGAGAAGAGGGGCCGCGTGTGGGGCAGTGCTGTCTGCCGCGTGGCGGAGGCAGAAGCCACATCGGAGAGAGGTGAAGGGTGGGTGGGAGCAGCACGGATGAGGCGGCAGGTGCAGAGACAGATACTCTTCCATGATGTGCAGAAGGGAGTCGAGAGGGTGTGTGCTAGGGCAGAGGCAGGTTGGGAGGGACTGGCCCCTTGAGGTATCCCACGTAAAATGCCGGGAGCTTGCTGGGGGTGCTAAATGAAATGCTTGCGGGAATCCTACAGTAAGGAAACCTCTTGAACCTTGTTTCATCCTGTGTATCCAAACTTCGTTGACCTACACCTGACATACTTTGGGAAACCCCAGATAGGAACATATGATATGTGGGAACAGATGTGTCCTTTTGGTGTGTGGGTTTACAGATCAGGAAGAACCCACCGTATGTACACCAGAGTAATGGGGTTTCTTTTGTGCTTAATTCTGGGGACAGTGCAGACATCTGGAAGGGCTTGAAACAGAAAAGGGACATAATTAGTGCTATGTTAGAAAACCGTCCTTCTGGTGAAAACATAACTGCTCTACTTGCATGCACTGGGGTGGATAGAGGTCTTTGGTAAGGGCCTTCTATATGGGAAAGGCGTATTACACCTGCCAAGCTAGCTGCCCTTGTTCCTTAAAAAGCACAACAGGGTTTTCAGCCTCCCCCTCGGAATGCTCCAGTGAAAGGCCCAAGAATGTTTTTCTTAGTCTTTTATCTTCATGACAGTTCATTCCTCCCCCTTTCAGTTTCTCATGTAAGTCCTAAATGTGGGCTTTAATGCTAATGGGGAAGTTTCGTAGCTCACTGCAGGGAGCCACATGGTGACTTAGTACTAAGAATGAAAGTGTTTTTGCCTTTGTTTGACCTTTAAAGTTGTTATGACCTAATTTAGGAAAGTCCTGTAGAATATATCTAGGAATTAATTTATTCTTCCCACTTTATGTGCTGTATCTGTGCATTAAGATATCAAGATACAGTTATGGTTAGGGTAATCAGGATAGAGATGGAGTTTGTTTTCCCCTGCCCTTCATTAAAAAAAAAAAGGCTTTTCTTAAGCATTATTGTTATTTTAGAGACTTTAAAACGAGAAGTGATGGAAAGAAATGATCTCAAATTAAGTAAATACTTAAAAGACCCAACATTATTAATCTGTCTTTGGAAGAGATGCCCAGGAAAGTCCCCTTTTACCAACTGGAAACGTATTCAGCTTCTAAGATAATTATGAAACAGAGGAGTAATTGAATCTGTGGGTTATTCTGATTGCAGTTTCCCATGGTTTTTTGTCCAGCTTATCAAACACACTTCCTATTCTGGGCTCTGGTTCCAACTCTTCTTACTGTCATGAAACTGGAAGCAAATTCCCCAGTTCTCTGGGCTAGTGAGAGTTGAGGTTTTGTTGTGATGCGCTGGCATAAAGCCGTGGGCCTGGGCTCTCTGAGTGGCACTGAGGGCCTGTGGGCTCTCGGAGGGCACCTGAGGTTGTGAGCTGGAGCGTGTGAATGTGCGTGCGGTCATCCGGCACCTCTTGGGGGCGTCATGGGGGCCAGGCCCCTGTGCTGGGGCCTGATGACTGGTGACACTGAGACAAAACTTTTGCTTCGCCTTGGGTTTCATGAATCATGCAGACACAGAATCCTGTGATTCTAGTATAAGCCTCCCTTGATGGAAGTAGGTACAGGAAGCCAGGGGAGTGATGATTAAGGAGACTTGCATTTGAGGATTTCCACTTTTGACCAAGACAGAGTAACAGGGACCAATCTACCTTCCTTTCTGAAACAAAAAGAGATGAAACAGTGGACGTCAGTGAAGGACAGTGACTCCTTGAGGGACGTGCAGTGAAGGCTTTTCCCCCCACTGTTGTCTTTTCTAGTACTTCCTCTCCAGTTCCCTGGACACTCAGTGGATGTCCAGTAATTCAGCTCAGTTCTGACACTGTTTACCTGGAGTTAGCGTCAGATCCCACAGTTAAAGGGGTTCACCTCCACCAGGCTGCCCCCCCTTCAGATGCCAGTCTCAAGTCTGGGCCTCTAGTACTTCCGACCGACCAGCTATACATCACGTTTTCTGGCCTACCCCTCAGGTTCAGTAATTTGCTAGAATGGCTCACAGAACTCAGGAAAACCCTTGACTTACATTGCTGGTCTACTATGAAGGATAGAGCTCAGGAACAGCCAAAGGGGAGAGATGCATAGGCAGGGGTGGCACCCTTTCTGGGTGCTCCATCCTCCCAGTACCTTGATGTGTTCATCGTCCCAGTGGATCTCCAAATGCCATCATTTGGGGTTTTTTTGGAGCTTTCATTACCCATGCGTGATTGATTAAATCATTGGCCACGGGTGATTAACTCTGTATGTAGTCCCCCTGTCCTTCCCAGAGTTGGGGATGGGGCTGAAAGTTCCAAGCTTCTAATCAAGGCTTGGTCTTTCTGGCAACCAACCCCCAATCCTGAAGTTCTTTAGGGACCTACCAAGAGTTGCCTCATGAGAACGAAACACTTCTGTCACCCTTGTCACTCAGGAAATTCCAAGGGTTTTAGGAGTTCTGTGCCAGGAACCAGGGATGACAACCAAGTGTCTTTTTTTTTTTTCCCCAAATATGTTTTTTATACCGCAGGCAAAAACAGAATCAGCACTATAATTGCCTCAGCTCACTGTCCTAAGCGTTTTCAGGCCATGGTGCAGGGGAAACCCAGGCAGAGCTAAATAGACTGTCTGAGCTGAGGGGATGGGGGATGAGAGCTCAAGGAGACAGAAGCATTTGCAGGTCAGAGCAGGAGAAGAGGTGCTCGGAGAGGTGGAGTCAGCCGCCTCCCCCTACTCCCTGGCAGGGATCCAGCGAAGAGCAGATACACAGGGAGCTGCCCGAGGCCAGGCAAAGATGAAGTTGAAAGGATTAAGAGAGAATCAGTGCCTCTGATATGAGGAATTCTTAGTCTTGGGAAACAAACTGAGGGTTGCTGGAGTGGTGGGGGGTGGGAGGGATGGGGTGGCTGGGTGATAGACACTGGGGAGGGTATGTGCTATGGTGAGCGCTGTGAATTGTGCACGACTGTTGAATCACAGATCTGTACCTCTGAAACAAATAATGCAATATATGTTAAGAAAAAAAAGATAGCAGGAGGGGAAGAATGAAGGGGGGTAAATCGGAGGGGGAGACGAACCATGAGAGACGATGGACTGAGAAACAAACTGAGGGTTCTAGAGGGGAGGGGGGTGGGGGGATGGGTTAGCCTGGTGATGGGTATTAAAGAGGGCACATTCTGCGTGGAGCACTGGGTGTTATGCACAAACAATGAATCATGGAACACTACATCAAGAACTAATGATGTAATGTATGGTGATTAACATAACAATAAAAAATTTAAAGAAAAGAAAAAGAATCAGTGCCTGATGTTCACAGGGTGGAGGATAGTACCCACTGCAGGTACACAGTGGCTTTGCTGGGGAGTTCTACCAAGGGTTGGAGGAAGAAGTGCTACCGGTTCTACCCACTCTCCTCCAGAAAATTGAAAAGAGGGAACACTTCCCAACTCATTCTTTGAGGCCTGCATTATCCCGATACCAAAACCAGGCAAGGCCATTGCAAGGAGAGAAATCTAAAGACTAACATCCTTCGTGAATATAGATGCTAAAATTCTAAACACTATTTTCGCAAATGAAATCCAGC